CCGGGGGGGTCCCCAATGTCCCTCACTGTCCCCATTGTCCCCAATGTCCCCGGTGTCACTCACCTGGCGGGGCTGTCCCCAGTGTCCTCAGTGTCACTCACCTGGAGGGGCTGTCCCCAATGTCCTCGGCGTCCCTCACTGTCCCCATTGTCCCCAATGTCCCCGGTGTCACTCACCTGGCGGGGCTGTCCCCAGTGTCCTCAGTGTCACTCACCTGGAGGGGCTGTCCCCAATGTCCTCGGCGTCCCTCACTGTCCCCATTGTCCCCAATGTCCCCATTGTCACTCACCTGGCGGGGCTGTCCCCAGTGTCCTCAGTGTCACTCACCTGGAGGGGCTGTCCCCAATGTCCTCGGCGTCCCTCACTGTCCCCATTGTCCCCAATGTCCCCATTGTCACTCACCTGGCGGGGCTGTCCCCAGTGTCCTCAGTGTCACTCACCTGGAGGGGCTGTCCCCAATGTCCTCGGCGTCCCTCACTGTCCCCATTGTCCCCAATGTCCCCGGTGTCACTCACCTGGCGGGGCTGCCCCCGGCCGGGGGGGTCCCCATTGTCACTCAGCAGCAGCTCCCACAGCGGGGACAGCGGGGACGCTGTGGGGACAGCAATGTCACCTCCAGTGTCACCTCCCGGTGTCACCCCAGTGTCACCTCCCCAGTATCACCCCACTATCACCCCAGAGCTCCCAGTGCCACCCCAGGCCAGCAGCTCCCACAGCAGGGACAGCAGGGACAGGGACAGTGCTGTCACCTCCCTGTGCCACCCCAGTGCCACCCCAGAGCTCCCAGTGCCACCCCAGTGTCACCCCGGGCCAGCAGCTCCCACAGCGGGGACAGCGGGGACGCTGTGGGGACAGCAATGTCACCTCCAGTGTCACCTCCCGGTGTCACCCCAGTGCCCCCAGTGCTCCCAGTGCCACCCCAGAGCTCCCAGTGCGCTGCCAGGCCAGCAGCTCCCACAGCGGGGACAGCGGGGACACTGTGGGGACAGCGGTGTCACTGCCAGTGTCACCCCAGTGTCACCTCCCCAGTGTCCCCAGAGCTCCCAGTGCCACCCCAGGCCAGCAGCAGGGCCAGCGCCGAGCGCGCGGGGACGCGCCAGGCCAGCAGCTCCCACAGCGGGGACAGCGGGGACACTGGGGACAGGGACAGCAATGTCACAGTGCTGTCACCTCCCTGTGCCACCCCAGAGCTCCCATGTCCCCGGTGTCACTCACCTGGCAGGGCTGTCCCCAATGTCCCCATTGTCACTCACCTGGCGGGGCTGCCCCCGGCCGGGGGGGTCCCCAGGGAGGTGACAGGGGGGTGGCAGGGGGGTGGCAGGGAATGTCCCCGGTGTCACTCACCTGGCGGGGCTGGCCCCAATGTCCCCGGTGTCACTCACCTGGCGGGGCTGCCCCCGGCCGGGGGGGTCCCCAGCGCCCTGAGGCACAGCTGGCGCAGGCGCAGGGGGACGGTGACAGCCAGCACGGCCAGCGCCCCGTGTGCCAGCACCGAGACGGCGCTGAAGCGCGACAGCGAGCCCAGGGCCAGCAGGGCCAGCAGCAGGGCCAGCGCCGAGCGCGCGGGGACGCGCCAGGCCAGCAGCTCCCACAGCGGGGACAGCGGGGACACTGTGGGGACAGCGGTGTCACTGCCAGTGTCACCCCAGTGTCACCTCCCCGGTATCACCCCAGTGCCACCCCAGTGCCACCCCAGGCCAGCAGCAGGGCCAGCGCCGAGCGCGCGGGGACGCGCCAGGCCAGCAGCTCCCACAGCGGGGACAGCGGGGACACTGGGGACAGGGACAGCAATGTCACCTCCCTGTGCCACCCCAGTGCCAGCCCAGTGTCCCCAGTGCCACCCCAGAGCTCCCAGTGCCACCCCAGGCCAGCAGCTCCCACAGCAGGGACAGCAGGGACAGGGACAGTGCTGTCACCTCCCTGTGCCACCCCAGTGCCACCCCAGAGCTCCCAGTGCCACCCCAGTGTCACCCCGGGCCAGCAGCTCCCACAGCGGGGACAGCGGGGACGCTGTGGGGACAGCAAT